TCAGACAATGTGATTGTCTGGATTTGTTTTATCATTTTGTCTTGCATAGTTGAGGCTACCTATGATGTCAACTACAGGCCTCTCTCATCTTTTTAAGTGGGAGAACTGGCACAATTGGTGGCTGACTAAATACTTTTTTGCCCCACTGTATATGATCACATAGGGCAGAGATGTCAATCTTGTGGCGTCATGTTGCCATGACGTGACGTTTCATGGTGTTTTTTTCCTTTGCGGTGGTAGGGTAGATTTTGAGGAATTATAGAATGTAAGTTAGAAAGTGGAGGATATGATGGTAATTTTTTGTATTTGAAGGGACTCTGGGGGGGTTGGGGGTGTAGGCTGTTTTCATCCTCTCCAGGCTCCTATAAAGCATCTGGAACCTGGGGAGAATGAAAAATGGCTTTTAAAAAGGCTGAACTCAGCTGACAGGGCAACGCCTCACGTGCCCTGACAAATGGCTCCACGTGCCACCTGTGGCACGCGTATCATAGGTTTGTCATCCCAGTTCAATACCATACCACAAAAGTGGTCAATCTCTTATTAAAAACCTCTAGTGATGAAGCACCTACAATTTCTGAAAGCAAGTGTTCATTCCAGTAATTGTTTTCATTCTCAGGAAAGTTCTCCTTAATTCTAGATTGAATCTCTCCTTAATAAGTTTCCATCTATTATTTCTTGTCCTGCCTTCAGGTGCTTTGGACAAAAGCTTGAGCCCCTTTTTTGTGACATCTTTTTGATCATTTGAGACATCTTAATATTACAGGTGGTTTAATTTTTCAAAAGTCTTATCTCCAAACACTGCTACTAGAGACGGCATAAATGTCCTTGAAGGACAATGGAAAGATCAGTTACCAAGACAACTGTCACAGAAGTATCACTTAAATCTATTCCAAAAACTAACTTGAGAAAATGTTTCAGACGGGCCCCTCTTTAATTTTCACAAAGATAAAGTGAAGAAGGAGGAAAGATATTACTACCTGCAATATTCTGCAACAATATCCATTTCAATAAAAAAATTAGACTTATATGACATTAGTTTGTTAGTCTGATCTGCTCTTTAGGGATGACAACTACAGATGTTACCTTGCTTCATGCCTCAACCAAATTTTATAAAGTAATTGGCCCTTCTTTTATGATCCTACTTAGGCAGGTTAGCTCTTCTTTGATAAAACACATTTGCAGAGTACAAGGGACAGAATACACTAGTTCAGCAAATATAATACCTAAAAAAAACTCCTATTCATTACAAGTTACACATTGGATTTTATCTCAAAGAAAGAGGTTTTTAAAGTTTAAAAACTGTATTTGGTACTCAGAAATCAGAAGGCATGATTATCACAGTGCATTTATTATCATAATTTATTACCACAATTCAGAATTCTAGAAATGTTGGGTTTCTAGCAATAAATATTGCACTAATTCATAGTACTTAATTGCTCGTGCTTGGCATTAAATGCCAGCAGAAGCATCTAAGCCTCAAAAACTCTTCAAAGGTATGACACGTAAACCAGGATCTCTGGGTTGATGCACTGCCAAAAAGAACGAGTTGGAACCCATCATTTGTTCTTGGCTTTTGATTCCTGACTTCTTAAGAAAAAAAGGTTAAGAAAGTAAGTTTACACATCATGATAAACAAATTATGAAAGAAATTTTACATGGAAGAGTCTATTTTCAAGTCTTCTAGAACAGTGGCCCCCAACGTTTTGGGTAGCAGGAACTGTTCCATGGGGGAAAAAATTCCACAAGCTACGGGGGGGGGGGGGGGGGCATATTTTTTGTGTGCTACCTAGATCCCGCACATGTGCAGATGGTTCCTAACAGGCTGCGACCCGTACTAGTCCGCGAACTGAGGATTGGGAACCCATTCTAGAAGGCATCTTACTAAATAGACTGCATATAATATTCTGTAACAGAAATCTCATTCTGAATATTTCTCTCTTTTGTTTAAATATCCCTTATTTCTACCTCCTCCTATTATTGTCATCATCTACTGCTTCAATACTATGCATCAGTCACACTTTAGGTAGCACTTTTTCCTTCACTCATTCATTTTGTTTCTTTCAACTACTGTACAAATGTGTTTTGTTCTCTATTTCCCCCCATCATATTTTCATTTTTATCTTGAACTTATCTCTTTATTCATTTGCCATTTTTACAGTATAATTATATACTTGCTCTAATCTACAGGACACTTGCAAAATACACAAGATCTCTAATGCTGAATATTTGAAAACACTTTTAAAAAGCTTTAGCCTGTATATTTGAATAACCACATCAAGGAACAGAAACAAAAAGTAGTCCACACCTGCCATCAAAAACAAATTCAACAAAGTCCCATAGTAATCTGTAACATCTTCAGGAAAAAAAAGTACAAATGCTGGCTAAGACAGAAATACCTGTCAAAGTTGTGAAAACTGCATCAGTCGCCTTTCAAAGTTTAAGCCAGTTTATAAGGGGCAAAAGGCAATAGAGAAAATTTTTTGCCCTCACTATAATTCCTACCTTCTTCTGTTTCTATTTAGTGTCATACAAATTACCACAGCTTTTCTATATAGTAATTTTCACTTTACATCTTCTTCGACTTTCAACTACCATTGAGCCCAAAATGTATGTTGCTAAGTGATAATTTTGTTAAATGAGTTTTGCCCTATTTTTTCCTTGCTACATTTGTTAAATGAATCGGGCTTCCCTATTGACTTTGCTTGTCAGAAGGTTGCAAAAGGTGATCACATGAACCTAGGACACTACAACTGTCATAAATGTGAATTAGTTGCCAAGCATCCATATTTTGATCATGTGACCATGATCATGCAGGTTTTGCAATGGACATAAGTCACATTTTCAGTGCTGCTGTAACTTTGAATAGTCACTAAATGAACTGTTGTACTTCAAGGATTATCTGTAGTTAAGATGAAATTCTCTATGAAAGCATTAAAGAACTTATTTTTTTCCAAATTGCTTAGCAATTAAGTAGATGCCAAATATTTAAAATATGGGAAAAGATACACTACCAAACATTGGACTGATTTAAAATGCCTATCCAATTGTTAGGTTTCTCAATCAATCCTTACTACAGAATATACAGATAATTGTCTACATCCAACAGTTCATTTAGTGACCATTCAAAGTTATAACTACTCTATTGTTAAATATCTATACCGTGTACGGGTTCTGGGAAGTAGGGTGGGGGTAGGTTGTGGGGGCTCGGGGGGGAGGGTGGGGGGAAATATACTAAGCTTGATTTTAAAGCAATATGATTGCACATGTATATTGTCTTCTCTTACAACATGATATTGTCTATGTAATAATATACATGCGATTATATGTTATGAAAATGGAAAATAAAAATTTTTGGCAGAAAAAAACAAAATTTATAACGACTCTGAAAAAAGTGACTTACGACCAAAAGTTGATGGACGTAGCAGAGATGGCTAAATTGACTGCTTTGATTAAAGAAAAAAATACAATTACTTTTGTTTCTACTTGGAAACCGCTGCTTCTGGACTTTTTGCTTGAGATGCAAAAAAATAAAAGAAACTTTGATTTCGGGTTTTGATTAAATAGGTTTGTTATTATAGAAATGAGCAATATATATTACCATGTAAAAGTAAAATGTTGAGGCTTAATACTATTATCTTATTCTACTGCACCAAAAGGAGTCAAAGTTTAACAGCTTTTGTTTCTTTTTTCCTTCTGCCCTACACTTTTCCTTTCCCTTCTCCCTCACTTTCCCACTATTTTCTTTTGTATTTAGTATTATCAACTAGTAAAAATTTGACTTATGACTGTTTTTCACACATATGACCATTGCAACATCCCCGTGGTCACATGATCAAAATTCTGATGCTTGGCAACCGGTTTGTATTTATGATAGTTGCGGTGTTTTCGGGTCATGTGATCCCCCTTTTGCAACCTTCTAACAAGCAAAGTCAATGGGGAAACCAGATTCACTTAACAACCTGGTTACTAAGTTAATAGCTACAATGATTCTCGTAACAACTATGGCAAGAAAAGTCATTAAATGAGGCAAAACTCACTTAACAAATGTCTCACATAGCAAGATAAAGTTTGGGCTCAATTGTGGTCGTAAGTGGAGGACTATCTGTATATGGATATATAACAATATAAACCAGCTAAGAAATCACATTTTTCAAGCAATCTACCTACTCAACATGGAATCTCAGTTAAAATTATGAATACTCAACTATGGGACATAGTTGCAGATTTTAAAATAAAATCGAAGTGGAACAAACAATCTCATTATTTTGATAACTATTTGATCAGTATCTAAAGTACAGTACTAGTCCAATTTACCAACTTATCTAAAACTAGTTAAAGATAATATAATGCAAGCCACATTATATATTATTAGTAACCATTTTTTAAACCTGTTTAAAATGAGATTTCCAGGTCCATTTAAAATTATTTAAAACAATTTTCTTAGCTTTCCTAACAAAGAGAACAGACCTTAATTTATGCTTCCCAAAAACTATCATATATAGATTAATTAGGAGCCCAGCTTTTGCCAGACAATTTGGACATGTTGGCCAAGTTTACAGAGGCTAACTTTCTTTTGCATTCACAACACTATTCTAGCCAAACAACCAATGTGCATACATTGGCAAGACAATATAGAAACGAAAATAGTTTAAACATACTAACATCCTAGTCTTGGGGCATCCAGTCAAGCTACGCAAAGAGGTGTTTTTGTCCCTTGCATACTCCCAAATGTGGAAGTAGGATCAGAAACTGGATCTGGAAAAAAAGGGTAAACAGCATGTTAGTTAAATTCACAGGTGGCACTTCTTGGGTACGGCTACAAACATTAGCAAGAACAAAAATACAAATGGATTTTGGAAGACATGAAGAAAATGCATATTTCACAAACATGATAATGATATGCAATCAGAGTTCAACAGACAGTGAAAATACTACCAAAAAATCCCAATACGCGAAGAGCAGTGAGAGATAAGAAAACTGTAGGAGTAGAAATGTTTTATTTCTGAGCCACAATAAAATAACTGTTGCCTTACTACACTGAGTAAAATTAACTATGGACACTTTCTATAGAAACCTTCATTCACTTTCATACACATGGTCCTTGTACTATAGTTACAGAGTCTTTAGAAGGGGAAACTACATTTCCTCTCAGAAAGATGCAGTAAGCATGCTTAGGAAGCAAAAGGTGCACATTCCTATTAAGGTACTGTATTTTTCAGAGTATAAGACGCACATTTTTCCCTTTAAAAAGAGGCTGAAAATGTGGGTGTGTCTTATACACTGAATACAGCATTTTTTGCCTCCCGAAGCCCCGCTCCCTTCACCAAAATGGCCATGCGTACCCTTATGGAGGCTTCCAGAGAGCTCTTGGGGGCTGGGGAGGGCAGAAATGAGCAGAAACTGGGCCATTTTTGCCCCCCCCCCAGCCCCCAGCAGCACTCTATAAGCCACCCTAAGGCTATGCGTGCAATTTTTTTGACAAAAATGGGCTCATTTTCACAAAAACGGGCCATTTTTTGCTTTTGGGGGGGGCACCCCCAGGAGCACTCTGCAAGCCCCCCCCCCCAGGGATATTCATGCCTTTTTTTAAAAAAATGGGCCATTTTTGGGAGGTTTGCAGAGTGCAAAAACTTTTGTTTTTCCTTTTGGAAAGCTCTTTAACATTGATGAGAATTACATTGATCAAGTGCTGTGCCAGCAGAAACAAAGTCTTAAGGTGCTGCAGATTGTCAGCGATTTCCTTCTCCAGCACATGGATAAATACACCTGGAAACATCTACCTACCTACCTAGTCTCTCTCTCCATACCTATCTACTGTATTTCTCTCCATTCCTCTACCTACCACCTACCTACTCTCTCTCTCTCTCCATACCTATCTACTGTATTTCTCTCTCTTTCTCTCCCTCTCTATCCCTCTATCTACCTACCTACTGTATTTCTCTCTCTCTCTATTCCCCTACCTACCTACCTACCTACCTACCTA